GCAGGGAGCCTGATGCGGGACTCGATCCAGGGACTCCAGGATCATGACCTGAGCCAAAGGCAGTCGCTTAACCAACTGAGCCACCCAGGCGCCCGAAATTTTAATTTAATTAGGTTTTATGTAAAATTTAAAAACAAGTTTACAATTTAAAAGTTGGGAAGGGACTTGAAATAGATGAATAGTCTGAACTACTGTTGATACGTAGTATGAGGTACTAATTTACCTTTTTTGTGTGTGAGAAATCTGCAGTTTTTAAGCATTTTAGGTGTTTATTTTAACCATTTTAATGCCATTTTAAGATGATTTCTTACCTGTTTTTCAAAGTATAGCTTCAAGGAACTCTTAGGCATTTTGTCAGACCTCACTGGAATTCTTTGCTGGAGTTTGAAGTAATAAGACCTCTTTAATAGATTATATCAGATTGGCTTTCTCAAATATACTTAGGATTTCACTTTTTAAACTAAAGCTACTGATCTAATTGAAAGTTTTCTGAAACTATTAAATATATTTGGGTTAAATGCTTCATATCAACCTTGGGAATTATTGTCTGATTAGTAACAGTGTTATATCTGCAGATTCACATTGAAATTTTTGTTTTTCCTGAGAGATGCTGGGTTTCAGTATTTTTTTTTTTTCTCAGATATTTCCAGCCACCTGGAACTTGGATACAGTGTGCATTAGAATCCAGGGAGCTTCTTGCTTTGTGTTTGAAAAAAATCAAAGCTCCTCTGAGTAAGGTAGGTCAGTCATTTAAAATCAGTTTTTGTAGGTATGTGTTTTTGTTTTTATATTTTAATCTCTTATTTTCAGAAGATCCTATATGATTAGGTTTCCCCAAAATAACTTAAATGTTGGTAAGCATCCTACTACAAAACTGTGTTCATTTTTAAAGTTATATATATACATATATATTTTTTATGGAAATGAAAATCTTTTTGCTTTAAAAGATTTAATGTAGAATCATTTTTTTCACTATTTATTGAGAACCTCTTATGTGCAATAGATTTTTTTCTGAAAATATATAAAACCATCGCTAAACATAATTTAGACGGTTATGGTATTAGGGCTATGGTATTCAGTCTCTTTTTATTTTCAGTATTACTCTAGAAAGAAAATATTTGTGCCTGTTACTTAAAGTCATTGCATTAATATCTCCAAAAAACAAATAGAATTTTAGCCTAGTTTACCTCTCTGCATAACACTTTCAGTTGTCTTTGTGTTAAACTTTATGACTGACTCACTTCCACCAGATATGTTTTTAATTGAAGTGGACTCTTGGTTTGAAAGTCTTCAGATTCTCTTTTAAGCTCTGATAAAATTTCATGTAATAGTTCTTTGAAATTTTTTCCTTTATTTTCTTTTTTTCTCCTTGGAATTTCTGTTAGTCTGTGTTGGCCCCACTGGCTTAAAACTGTCTTTTTCCCTTTACTGTTTTTAATCTTTTTGTCTTTTTTTCTGTGTTCTTGGTGAGTTACTTTATGTTCTGGTTTCTGTATTGATTTTTTGTTCCAGCAGTGATATTTTTATGTTCCAGAGTCTTTACCATAGTCTCAATGTTTTGATGCATTCTGTTCTTTTTTAAAAATTTTTTTAATTTTTCTTTAAAATTTTTTCTTTATTTGAGTATAGTTGACAAACAGTATCACATTAGTTTCAGGCATACAACATAGTGATTTGACATCTTTGTACATTATGCTGTGCATATAAGTGTAGCTACCATATTTTACCATACAACACTATTACAGTATCATTGACTATATTACTTGTGCTATACCTTTTATCCCTGTGACTTATTCATTCCATAACCGGAAGCTCGTTTCCCACTCCCTTTCCCATTTTGTCTGTCTCCATAGCCCCCTTCCCTCTGGCAATCATTAGTTTGTTCTCTGTATTTATAGGTCTTACTCTGCCTTTTGTTTATTCATTTGTTTTTTAGATTCCACATATGAGTAATATCATATGGTATTTGTCTTTCTCAGTCTGACTTATTTCACTTAGCTTAATGTCCTCTAGGTCCATCCATGTTGTTGCAAATGGCAAGCTCTCATCCTTTTTATGGCTGTGTAATATTCCATTCTCTCTCTATACCACATCTTCTTTATCCATTCATCTATCGATTAACACTTAGGTTGTTTCCATATCTTGGCTATGGTAAATCATGCTGCAGTGAACATATGAGTGCATATATCTTTTCAAGTTAGTGTTTTTGTTTTCTGTGGGTAAATATCTAGTAATGGCATTTTTAGATCATACGGTATTCCTATTTCTAACTTTTTGAGGAACCTCCATACTGTTTTCCACAGTGGCTGTACCCGTTTGCATTCCCACCAACAGCAGTGCTTTCTTTTGAATTTTTCTGAAGGTTTGATAATAGGTTTTTAAAAAATTTCCTTCTGTTCCCTAATTTGTCTCTGGAGTCAGTTTTTTGTGTAACTTTCACTTTCATACTCTGGCTTTCAGGCTTTTGTCAAATGCCTGGTGAGTCTTAATAATTCATTAGTTCATTCAGTAATGTTGATTAAGTAGCAACTCTGTGTCAGTCTGCTTTTGGTGTTGGGGATATAGCAGTGAATGACAGAAACAAAAATGTCTGTCTTAGGTAACTTTTATTCTAGTTGGAGGGGAGGGTGTGGAGTAGGTGTATTATACAGTATGTTAAAAGGGTCTAAATTCTGTGGAAGGAAAAACCAGGAAGGGGATAAGAACTGCATAGGGAAGAGTTGCAATTTAAAATAGAGTGGTTAGCATTATGTGTCAACTATACTCAAACAAAATAAATAATTGAAATAGAGTGGTTGGGTAAGGCCTCTCTGATAAGGTGACATTTGAGTAAACATTAAAGGCAGTATGGAAGGGAGCTGTGCAGAAATCTGGAGAAGAATTATGGGTAGAGAAAACAAGTGTTAGGCTAGAGGCAAGGGCATAGCTGTGTGGTTAGCGTGAATGGGGGGAAGGGGAAAACTAGTGGGGGATGAAAACAACAATCATGGAAAGTCCCAGAAGGTCAGGTTTTTACTCTCAGTGTAATGGGTATAGAGGGTATAGGGTAGGGTAGTAAGATGAATGATTTATGATTTATCAGGATCCCTCGCTGCTGTGTTTAGAATACATATGAGGGAAATGGGGGTGAGGATAGAAGTGGGGACCTTTAGGAAGTGATTGTAGTAATCATGGGTGGTGGTATTTGGATCAGTAGTGGTGGTGGTGAGAAGTGGACAGGCTGGATCTACTTTGAAGATAGTAGGATTTACTGATGAAGCTGGATGTGTGTATGTGATGGATGAGTATAAGGATTATTTGACTTCTATGATTCTTGACTTGATTAACCAGAAGGAGGGAGTTGCTGTTAGGTAGGGAAGGCTTCAAGAGGAGCAGGTCAGGGTGGGAGAGATGAGCCATCTCATAGTGGTACTTAGGTGTCCATTAAACATGGAAGTAGACATAGTAGGCAGGTGTATAAATAAGCAATGGAGTGGTCCAGACTGGGGATAATGAATTTGGGATATAGATGGTATTTAAAGCTATGAAATTGAATGAGATTTCCTAGGGAGTTTAGTTAGAGAGGGAAGAAATTTGAGGACTGAATCCTGGGGTCTTTTACTGATAAAAGCTTGGAAAGATGATAAATCAAAGGAGACTGAAAAGGAGTTGCTAGTGAGATAGATGAAAAATTAGGTGAGTGTAGTGTCTTGGAACACAAGGGAAGTATTTTACAAAGGAAGTCACTGGCTATGTAATTGCAGCTGATGGGTCAAGTAATGAATTCTGTAGATTTAGTAATGTGAAGACCGTTAGTGACTTTGATGAGCAGTTTCTGTTTAGTGGTGGAAATAAAGACCTGATTGGAATTGAAATGAGAGAATAGGAGGACAGGAATTGGAGATAGCAAGTATAGATAATTTTTCTGAGTTTTGCTGTAAAGGGAAACAAATGGGGTAGTGGGTAGAGGGAAATAAGGGGAAGGGACCCATTTCTCAAGACGTGAGATGTTACAGTATATTTATAAGCTATCTGGGAGTTGTGGGAACAGAGGGAAAAATTTGTGAAACTGCACAGAGACAGACTAATTGACTGGGGGATGACCTTGAGGAGTGGAAAAGAGAGAATATAGCCTATTAGTGGAAGAATATCAACAAGTATTTGGCATTTACTCTCTCCCAGGCACTAATTTCGGAGCCTGGAATATTTTGTGCAACAAAACAAAGATCTTTGCTCACTAATGGGGCGTTCTTAAGGTTGGTCTTGATGGGGCAAGGACAGTTCATCTGTGGTAATAGGAGAGAACGTGCTGGTAAGTGGGAGCTTCTGGAAACTCTTCTGATTACTTTTTATAATTGAGAAAACAAAAGCCTGGAGAGTAGTTATGAAGGAAAAATTATTAAGATGTTTGAGGAGAGAGGGGAAGGTATAAAATAGTCCTCTAGAGAGTGGGAGAGGGAATATGCTAGAATGATGTTGTATGGTTACTGTTATAAATTTAAAGACTCAAATGGAAATGCTAGGGTATTGTGATAAATACGAGATTGAAATCACCAAGTATTAATATTGTTGGAAAGAGCAACAGTGAGCCAGGAGCTAAAGTCTTTGAGAAGGTGACCTTGCAAAGGTTAACAGATGACTATCACAAAGAGTGGGTAGCATATCCTTAAGATTCAAAACTGGATGTATTTAAGGAGGAGGCAGGAGAGTGGTTTGGAATTAGCAATTAAGAGCAAGGAGGACACCTGTCTGGCTCTTGGTCCAGTGATAAGAATGGGAAAAAAATAGTCATTACTTTAATTAGCTGCAGGGGAGCAATATATATAATCAGGAGATTAGAAGATGAATGGAATGTTCAGCAAAGAGATTGAGAATTTAGGAGGTTTTGTTGTTAAGTGAATGTTGCGTTCCAGAGGGAACAATGAAAGCGTTTCAGAATTTTGGGAGGAGTGTTAGATGGGACAGAATAGGGAGTATGTGGAACCAACCATATAGAGATTAGAGTGTGGGGGATGAGGGGTGACTGAAGTGTCTGGGACTGTTGTAAAGAAGGATAAAGGGTCCAGTAAAGTTGATCAGTTCTGATTGTCTGAGGACAGATAGTGCAGTGAGGCTTTGTTGGTGAATGTTGAAGTAGATGTCAAGGGTCTGTACCTGTAGATGAGGTTGGAAACTGAGAGAAGGGCAGTCCTAGAGCCCTTGGGTCTTCTTGACCCTTGCGGATGGATGGTGGCTGAGGGAATAAGAAGCTGCCTGTTACCCTCTGTACCTGGTGTGGCTTATTGACTAGTAGGTTTTGCTTTAGTGGAACCAGTTATATGAGGAGGGTTTTACCCTGGAGTCCTGCATCTACAACTAGTCTAGTTTTCACCAGACAGGAGTTGATAAAATTATCATCTGCCCACTGATGTCTCCCAAATCTGTTATCTACAGCTCTGATTTCTCCATAGAACTCCAAACCAAATGTGTATCTTAACATCCACTTAACAACTTCATATAGGTATATCATAGATAAATCCTCTTAAACTCAAATGTCTGAAACCAAATGCAGCATCTTCTCTCCATCAAATCTGTCCTTTATTTATTTCAGAAAAATAGTTATTTCCTAGATGCCCAAGCTGGGTACTTGAACCTCATCCTAGATTCTGTTCTTTTCCTCCTTGCCATATCCAGTTGTCACTCAGTTCTGTAGATCTTATTTCCTAAATAACTCTTATGTCTTTCTGCTTCTTTTATTTCCAGCACCTCTCAGTTCAGATCACCTACAACTCCTGCCCAGATTATTGAAACAACCTCCCTTTTTTGTTCTTCTCTCTTTCTCAAAACACCCATTTTAGCTATATTGAGCTACGTTGAGTTCCTCACATGTAGCAGACTTTTTTGGCCTTTGCTGATATAGCAGTGAGTTACCATTGTGGATTCAGTATTCAGCATGAGATGCCCTCTAATGAACTTTTTTATTTATTTTTTTAAAGATTTTATTTATTTATTTGACACAGAGAGAGAACAAGTAGGCAGAGCAGTAGGCAGAGCAGCAGGCAGAGGGAGAGGGAGAAGCAGACTCCCCACTGAGCAGGGAGCCCGATGCGGGGCTCGATCCCAGAACCCTGGGATCATGACCTGAGCCGAAGGCAGCCGCTTTCCCACTGAACCACCCAGGCGCCCCTGAACTTTTTTTTTTTAAAGCCACATACTTAATGTAGATAGAATAATCCAAGTAGAAACTTTTGTTTATGAGATTTCTAGTAGATGATGAATCATCAGATCTTTGCTTTCTTCTAAAAAGTATAATTTCCATTTTTTTTTTTTTTTAAAAATTTTATTTATTTATTTGAGAAGAGAGAACGAGAGACAGAGAGCAGGAGAGGGAGGAGAAGCAGACTCCCTGCTGAGCAGGGAGCCCGATGCGGGACTCGACCCCAGGACTCCAGGATCATGACCTGAGCCGAAGGCAGACGCTTAACCATCTGAGCCACCCAGGTGCCCCATAATTTCCATTTTTAAAAAAGTATACTGGGGCGCCTGGGTGGCTCAGTCGTTAAGCGTTTGCCTTTGGCTCAGGTCATGATCCCAGGATCCTGGATCAATCCCTGCATCGGGCTCCCTGCTCCACGGAAAGCCTGCTTCTCCCTCTCCCACTCCCCTGCTTGTGTTCCCTTTCTCTCTCTGTCTCTCTGTCAGATTAAAAAAAAAAAAAAACTTAAAAAAAAAATATACTTTTTAAGGGAAAATAATTTTTTTCTATGCAAATACTTTAATTTTTGTTTGAATTACACCAGTTGCATTAATGTAGTCCTTAGATGGTCCTTTCATTGCACTTTTTGTTGCCAGACCTCTGATGATAATTTTTTTTTACTGGTGATGTTGAGTAGTCATGCTAATCACAGAGTCCTTAAACTTATGAAATCTATTTGTTAATGACTTGTTCTTTCATCTTTTTTCTCAGGTGGGAACTTACATTTCTTTTTGTTTGTGTTATTTTGAAGGTACGGCTTGTAGATGCAGGTTTTGTTTGGACTGAGCCCCATTCTAAGAGACTTAAAGTTAAACTGACTATTCAGAAAGAGGTAAGCTGTATATAGTTTTCTCAACATGTCTGGAGTGTAGGTAGTGAAAATGAAGGGATATTGGTAAGTTACCTTATTTGAATAGCTTAAAAGGAAAAGATTACACTCTTAATTTTAACCTTTCTGGGTTTTTTTTCTTGGGGTCATCTGCCAGATGATCAGGTCATTAGTAAGAGCACCAATACTCATCTTTTCAAAGTTATTTTTATTAGAAAAAAAGATTGAGGTAAAAGCATGAGCTAAGACAGTGTTTCTCAAACTTGGCTGATCATCATTATAATTCACAGTAAGTGAATCAAACTGGATCCATCTGGATGTGACACTCAGGAATCTGTGTTTAAAAGCTGCCCAGGTTATTTCTGATGATTGGCTATGTTTGGGAACAATTAAATTAAGGAATGTCTTCTTTTTTGGGAGTTTTCTTTGTCTTATTTTTTTATACATATACACACACATATATAGATATATAAATTCTTCAAAGACTGTCTTCACAACCACTTTAACTAAAGGTAAATATGAAATGTTAATTTAATCCTACAAATTAAACCTGTCTTTTTCTTGAAATAGGATTACTTATTTTTATGACTTTTAATTTAATTGATTTATTGTGGATGTCCTCAAAGCATTCATGGAAAAAGACTTTAAGTTATTAACTTTAAGTATTAAAGTTACTAAATATTATTTTCTTTTAAGAAAAACATTTGTTATTAAACAGAAAGGAAAGAAGGAAGGAGTGTGATTTTTTTTTTTTTTCTCCCCCCCAATCAGGTGATGAATGGTGCTATCCTTCAGCAAGTGTTTGTGGTGGATTATGTTGTTCAGCCTCAGATGTGTGGAGATTGCCACAGAGTAGAAGCTAAGGATTTCTGGAAGGCTGTGGTTCAAGTGAGGCAAAAGGTATTGAGAGAAAGATGATGAGTGAATCCTTCATCTTGTGTTTCATTTTTGTCAGTTACAAGCAGTTAGTAAAACCTCCTCCTTTCCCTTTTCAAATCCTTTAGGCACCAGCGATAGTCTAGGTTTCTGAAACATTCACTTTTAAAAATAGGTCACTATCATGTTTTAGATAATCTTTAAAGATTATTTTTGTTTTAAAAATCAGGGTGCTATACCTATAGATGGCTTTTTTTTCATTTCCTCTACTAATCAAATAATGCATTTATATTTAGACTTTGCACAAAAAAACTTTCTACTATCTGGAACAGTTGATTTTAAAATATGGAATGCATCAGAATACACTTCGTATCAAAGAGATTCATGGTGAGTTAAAATTTAAAAGCATTTGAATTGATGTCAGAATTATTTCAGCTAATGTAAGTCTTATCCTTATTGATAATATCTAGAATAATAACTGTCCAAAAGAACAGTTTCTTCTGTTAGGAAGAAAAAAATCTTGGTTTTTTATCTGCACTGTCCAATATGGTAGCCACTAGCCGTATATGGCTATTGAATACTTGAAATGTGTCTAGTGCAACTGAGGAGCTGAATTCTTAATTTTTTTTTGTTTTAATTTAAATTTACACTAAGTAGCCACCAGATGAGTAAACCAGTAACTGCATTAATACAGTGTAAAGTGCTGTGATGGAAAACTCATAGAAAACTTGTTTCATGCGGAGATCAGTTTCTGATTGGAAGAAAATTATTTTTGAGATCTGTAAGTTCTTTTGTAATATTTTTGGTTTTGATATACAAATGATATAGTTAGATTTCTTAAAAGGTAGAATTCAAAATTTTTTGCATGATTTCATAATGGTTCCTTAGAGTGTGTTCTGTCTTAGCACTTACTGTTGGTATAGTATACGTACTAGATGGCGGATGGATATTTCTCTAATTGATAGTAGAAAATATAAATGTTTTTAAGCAGACTTAAAGGTTAATATTTTTAGATGGTGCTTGATACTGGTGAACATCTATATACATTGTTTTCCTAGTCTCTAAAGTATAGGTTTAGAGATATCTGTTCTTGAAGGAATGACCAAATTCTTACATCATACTCCTCATTTTAAAACTGGGAGTTCTGCTGTTACTAATTGATCTGTTACTCATATCTTGTATGTCTTGGGAAAGTACTTAGAGAAGTGTGGTCTTGGATCCTTAAATGGGGGGAGATGTATGTAGTGATGTCACCAGGAGAAAATCTTTTAAGCTTTGTATCTGACCTGAATGCCTTACCGGTAGACATAAGGTTAATAGTCTAAATCCATGAAACACAATTTATTTTATTTATTTAAAAAAAAATTTTTTGGGGGCGCCTGGGTGGCTCAGTTGGTTAAGCAACTGCCTTCGGCTCAGGTCATGATCCTGGAGTCCCAGGATTGAGTCCCGCATCGGGCTCCCTGCTCAGCGAGGAGCCTGCTTCTCCCTCTGACCCTCCCCCCTCTCATGTACTCTCTCTCATTCTCGCTCTCTCAAATGAATAAATAAATCTTTAAAAAAAAAAAAATTTTTTTTTAATCTATTTGAGAGAGAGCAAGCAAGCACGAGCTGGGGGTGGGGGTGGGGGCAGGGAGGAACAGAGGGAGTGGGAGAAGCAGATTCCCTGCTGAGCAGGGAGCCTGATGGTGCTCCATCCCAGGACCCTGAGAACATGACCTGAACCAAAGGCAGACGCTCAACTGACCAGGCGCTCCTAAGTCGGTGAAACACAATTTAATATTTACTATGGGTAAGGTGTCTATTTAACATGGTGCCTGGCTACTTGTGGCCAGCCACCAGGCAAAAATACACCTTTGTTCTGAGTAACTCTCTTTTAAGTAACTCTTTCGGGGATAGGTAGATCCAAATATTATAGCTAAGAAAGCAAACCGCTATTATTATCACCATGGCAGGAATATACTCAAAGAATTTTTTTGTAGCGAAAGACTTGGATACATCCTGGGACATGCTTTTGCAATCATATTCAAACCAAAAATATTGCAAGTTTAAAGGCCTTTTTTCACCCAGAGGAGTTAATCTGTTTTTTTTTCCACATGCTAGATCTTGGTTTGATTTAAATGAATTTTTTGTTTGTGGTTTATTCGTAACTTTGTTTTTTTATAAAATCATAGTAGTAGTAAAAATTCACACATAGATGTATATGTGAATTAAAGACCTCTACATCCCTTTTATCCATTTATTATCTCCAGAGGTAGCCCCTTAAAACAAGATAGTATAATATGTACTCTTTTTGAAGGGGGTGAGGAGAGAGGGAGAGAGAGAAGCTTAAGCAGGCTCCATGTCCAGTGTGGAGCCCGATGTGGGGCTCAGTCTCACAACGCTGAGATCATGACCTGAGCCAAAATCAAGAGTCGGACGCCTAACTGACTGAGCCACTCAGGCGCCCCTATGATATATACTCTGTATGTAAATTGTGATGGCATTGGTATCCCCTCATATGTTTGATCATTCTGTAATATTCTGTGACCTGCCATCTTACTGTATTTGGAAACCTTGTCATGTCATTTAATGTGATCCTATTCCATTATTTTTAACCACCGTGTGTGTGTGTGTATGTGTGTGTATATTCATTAATCAATGTATATTTAATTATTTAGTTATAGCCTGTTGACTGGCTTATAAGATATTCCATTTTTTGCTGCTACAAATGGCACTATATTAACTTATCCTTATGTTTATGTATATTTGGTGGTTTTTCTTTGGGATTGAGTTTAAGAATTGTAATGACTAGACCGGAGTATGCAATTGTTAAATTTTTATATGTACTGTTAGATTGTCTTTCAAAATAGTGCCAGTGTACTGTCCCAACACTTGTAAGAATTTTCATTTTTTCCCAAACACTTGCCAACACTGTTTATGATTTTTGCTGTTCTATTAGAGAAAATAATGGTATCTTGTTTTAATTTGCATTTCCTTGATTACTAATGAGGGTTAACATTTTTTTTTTTAAGATTTTATTTATTTATTTGAGAGAGAGAGAATGAGAGAGAGCACATGAGAGGGGTTAGGGTCAGAGGGAGAAGCAGACTGCCTGCCGAGCAGGGAGCCCGATGCGGGACTCGATCCTGGGACTCCAGGATCATGACCTGAGCCGAAGGCAGTCGCTTAACCAACTGAGCCACCCAGGCGCCCGAGGGTTAACATTTTTATATATTATTAGCCATTTATGTTTATGTCTGGTGTGAATTGTCTGTTTTTCATATGTCTATTTCTTCCTCATTTATTTTGTCTTATTCTGGACATCAATCTCATTACGTGTGTGTGTGTGTGCGTGTGTGTGTGTGTATTATGTATGTATGTTTAGAGAGCTAGCATGTGTGTGTGTGTATTATGTATGTATGTTTAGAGAGCTAGCATGCATTTGAGTGTGAGCCTAAGGGAGCAGATAACTTCTTGCATTGTCACATGCCTTTTATCATTTAAATTTTTTATTCTTTAGTTATATAGCTATGGCTTATAACTTTTGTGTCTTACATAGGAAAGCTTTCTATGCTCCCATCATTATATTTTTATTAAAAGTAAATTACGTTTAGATTTTTAATCTTAACCGTTGGAGTTTTTCCTAGGTTACTCTATCCTTTCCCACTGATTTGAAAGATCGCCTTTCTTACATACACTAAATTCCTTTATATGCATGACTCACTTCTGGTTTGTTTTGTCTCACTGCTTCTACCACAGTATGTGAATTATACTTTATAATATGTATGCCCTTATTAATTTTTTTGCAAGATTTGATTGATAGTAAATAAGAACATGGATTCCGAAACTGATTTTGTGGGTTTGAACTCTGTCCCTCCAGTTTTTTTTGCTGTGTGATCTTAGGCAAGTTATTTAACTTCTCTGAGCCTCAGTTTTCCCATCAATAAAACAGAAAGGATGGTTATAGCATTTACCTCATAGGATTATTTTAAGATCAAATAATCTATGCAGAACACTTAGAACCCTGCCTGGTGCATAATCATGTTTATTTAGTTCTTTTCTGTACTTCAGTGAAACATTTTATAGTTTCCTTATAAAGATTTTTAAATGTTTCTTGTTATTTTTTTTGGCTCTTCTACACTATTTGTCATTGTGGATGGCAATTTCATTACATTTTTATTTCTTTAAATTTTATTTATTTGAGAAAAAGTATGAGTGGGGTGGAGGGGGAGGTTCAGAGGGAAAGGGAAAAGCAGACTCCCCACTGAGCAGGGAGCCTGATGCGGGGCCTGATCCCCAGACCCTGAGATCAGGACCTGAGCCGAAGGCAGACACCCAACCGACTAAGCCACGCAGGCACCCCATGCATTTTTAAATTGATTATTGCTAATATATTGGAAAGCTGTTGATTTTATATATTGATCTTCTTGAAATTTCTTAATGTCACTGATAGTTTATAGCTGATACTCTTGATTTTCTAGGTAAACCATTATCTGTAATGGTATTTTTATTTCATCTTTTGCAGTATTTTTCCTCTTCTTTTTCCTTTCTTTTTCCCTTTGGCTAGGAATGGAGAGTTACATGGTATGGTAACATGGTCATATGTCAGGCATTATCTTTCTGTATTTCATCCCTAAGTGTAATATTAATATGTTGAGATTTCTATTTGATACATATGCATTCATAGTTATATACATATATAAGCTGTTCAATCCAGTTATGTTAGTGACATCGAAAGAATTGGAAAGTTTGCCCTCTTTCTACCTAGTGTTTATCAGCCTCTTGAAGTTTTGTGAGAACCTGCTCATTGAGCCTGGGTGCCTCAGTCGGTTAAGCATCTGACTTTGGCTCAGGTCATGATCCCAGGGTCCGGGGATCGAGTCCTGCATTGGGCTTCTTGCTCAGCGGGGAGTCTGCTTATCCCTCTCCTTCTATCCCTCCCCGCTGCTCGTGTGCACATGCGCGTTCTCTCTCTTTCAAATAAATAAATAAAATCTTAAAAAAAACCCTGCCCATTGAGACATTCAGTTTGATATGGGGGAGGGGGTAAAGGCTTTTCAGTTTCTTTTGTTAGGGTATTAGTCTTTGTAAGGTATTCTATTGCTTCTTGAATTAATTTTAATAGCATTTTCCAAGGAAATAATTTCACCTAGCTTTTCACATTCTTGGCATAAAATCGAACTTAGAATATATATTATAACGTTAGATCTCATCCATAAACTATGGTTGTATCTTCTTTATTCTTCCTAATGTTGTTTGTCTTTTCTCATCTCCCCTCACTTCTTTACATCTATCACATTTGCCAGTTTTGTCCGTTAGTTTTTTCAGACAACTAGCTTTTTTTTTTTTTTAAAGATTTTATTTATTTATTTGAGAGAGAGAATGAGAGAGAGAGAGCACATGAGAGGGGGGAGGGTCAGAGGGAGAAGCAGACTCCCTGCCGAGCAGGGAGCCCGATGCGGGACTCGATCCAGGGACTCTAGGATCATGACCTGAGCCGAAGGCAGTCGCTTAACCAACTGAGCCACCCAGGCGCCCCAGAGAACTAGCTTTAATCAAGTATTTTCTTTTTTCTTAATTTTTGCTTTAAAATTAACATCCATCACCGTATATATTACAAAATTTTTTTCCTTCTACTTTTTAAAGTTTTATTTTGTTTGAATTAATTGGAAGCTTACTTTATTTTTAGTTTCTAATAAATGTACTGAAGTTTCATGAGTACATGTTGGTTTTGTAGCTGGTATTTATAGCTACCTTTTTCCACTATACATTGCGTATTTCTTTTATTTTCAGCATCTCAGCTATTTTGTTCTCTTGGGTATATACCTATGTGTAGACTTGCTGAGTCATATGGTAAATTTATGTTTTTCATCTTTTTTTATGTTTATCTTTTTAAGAAACTGGCAGACTGTTTTCAAAGTGGCTGTACCATTTTATGTTCCCATCAGCAATGTTTGAGGGTTCCAGTTTCTACATCTCCTCACCAACGTTATTGTCTCTTTTTGTTCATAGCCATTCTAGAGGGTGGTGTGAAGTGATATCTCATTTTGTGGTTTTACTTTGCATTTCCTAATGACTAATGATGTTGATCATCTTATCGTGAGGTTGTTAGCCTTTCCTGTATCTTCTTGGGGTACATAACTATTCAGATCTTTTGCCCATTTTTTAATTGGATTGTTTGTCTTACTAAATTTTAAGTTTTTTTTAATATATTCTGGATACTAGTTCCTCATCATATATATGATTTGCAGGTATTTTCTCATAGCCCATAGCCTGTCTTTTCATTGTCTTAATGTTGTCTTTTTTTTATTGTGATACGAACACTTAACATGAGATCTTCCCTCTTAACAAAATTTTAAGTGTATTATACATTATTGTTGACTATAAGTACAATGTACAGCAGATCTCTAGAGCCTGTTCATCTTGCTTAACTGAAACTTTATGCTCATTAATTGGTAACTCCATATTTCCCCCTCCTCTCAGCCCCTGGCAGCCATCATTCCACTCTTTGATTCTCTGAATTTGAGTATTTTAGAGGCCTCATATAAGTGGAGTCATCTAGTATTGGTCTTTCTGTGACTGGCTTATTTCACTTAGTATAATGTCCTCAAGGTTCACCCATGCTGTTGCATAATGCAAAATTTCCTCCCTTTTTAAGGCTGAATAGAATTCCATTGTATGTACACACCACATTTTATCTATTCTTCTGTTGTGGAAACAACCCAAGTGCCCATCATCTTGGCTACTGTGAGCAGTGCTGCAATAAACATGAGAGTGCTCGTATATCTTTGAGATTCTGATTTCAGCTCTTCTGGATAAATACTTAGAAGTGGGATTAATGGAACATATGGTAGTTCTATTTTTAATTTTTTGAAGAACCTCCATGCTATTTTTCATAGTGGCTGCACTGTTTCACATTTCCACTGGTGTGCAAGAGTTCCAGTTTTCCTGTATCCTCATCAATACTTGTTTTCTGTTGTTGTTGTTTTAATAATGGCCATCCTAATGAGTATGAAGTGATATCTCGTAGTTTTGATTTGCATTTGCCTGATAATTTTGACCTTGAGCATTTTTCATGTACTTGTTGGCCATTTATATGTCTTATTTGGACAAATGTCTGTATAGTTCCTCTGCCCATTTTTAAAATTTAAACATTTTAACTGATCAGGTTTAGTTTTTTTCTTGTTGAGTTGTAGGAGTTCCTAATATATTTTGGAGATTAATTCCTTGTCAGATACATATGGTTCGCAAACGTTTTCTCCCTTTTTGTAGGTTTCCTTTTCACTGCGTTGATGTTTCTTTTGCTGGGCAGAAGCTTTTTAGTTTGATGTAGTACCAGTTTGTTTTTGTTGCCTCTGCTTTTGGTGTCATATTCATGAAATCATTGCCAAGACCAGGGTCACGAAGCTTTTCTCCCTCTGTTTTCTTCTGGAGGTTTTATAGTTTCAGGTCTTTCATTTGATTCTTTAATCCATTTTGAGTTGATTTCTGTGAATGGTGTAAAACAGGTCCAGCTTCATTCTTTTGTATGTGGATATTCAGTTTTCTCAATACCATTTGTTGAAGAGACTATCTTTTTCCAAGGGTATAATTCTTAGCATTTGGACATCAGTTGACCCTAGATATGTGGATTGGTTTCTGGGTTCTCTGTTCTGTTCCACTGGTTATTAGGACTGTCTTTATGTCATTATCAAACTGTTTTGTTTACAGTAGCTTTATATTTTGAAATCGGGAAGTGTGATGTCATTTGAGTTGCAAAAGTTTAAGATTTTGAAGTCCAGTATGTAAATTTTTTTCTTTTGTCCATTATGCTTTTGTTGTCATGTTTAAGAACTCTTGTTTAATCAGTGTTATAAAGATTTTCTTCTGTGTTTTATAGTTTTAGCTCTTAAATTTGGGTCTAACCCTTTCTGTGTTGTTTTTTGTGCATGGTGTGAGGTAAGAGTCTAAATTCATCTTTATCCATGTGGATATCCTGTTTGCCCAATGAAAAGGCTATCCTTTCCTCAATGAATTCTTTGAATCCTCTGTCAAAGATCTGTTGACACTAAATGTCAGAGTTTAGTTCTGGGTTCTCAAGTTTGTTCCATAGATCCGTGTATCTATCCTATGCTAATACCATACTGTCTTGACTAAAGTTACCAGGTTTTGAAATTGGGAAGTTTAAGTTCCCAACCACTTTGTTCATCTTCGGAATTCTTTCGGCTGTTCTGAGTTATTTAGTTTCCTAGTTAGCTGAGTTGTTTGGAAGAGTATTTCTGTAAGCATTTCCTAGCAGGTAGGTGTGTTTTTAATTATCCATTTGTTGCTGATTTTTAATGGTACTGCATTGTGATCAGATAATACTGTCTAATAATTCATACTGTTTAGAATTTATTGAAATTAAAAAATCTTTGTACATGATTGTTTTATGAATATTCTATGAGTTTTTAAAAATAATATGTATTCTTGGGACCGTGTTCTATAATCTCAGTTAAATCAACCTTGAGAGTTATTCAAGTTCTATGTATCCTTCCTATTTTTAGTCAGTTTGGTCATTTTGTTTTTGTTTT